TGTTGTGTGTGTGTGTGTGTGTATGTAGTATATGTATATATATATATATATATATATATATATTGTGAGCAACTTATTTAGTTCACGAACGGTTTTAGAGTGCAATAGCGTTGTACTTTATATGATCAAAGTAATGTAATAGCTTACAAGATTATAGTGACTGATCATCGCATAAACTTGTCATATATAGTCTTAACTAGATATTACCTATCGTCAGTCCCCTCTAGTTACTCCACAACATCCCCCCGAGTTCCTCGCTTCCTCTGTTGTCCGTCACTCCTGTATACATCTTACACTACTTGACACTTCTCGCTACTTTACAGCCTATGCTATTCTCTTGTTCTATTGATATGCATTTTACAGCCTCATCATATATGTAAAACCAATATAACTAGACACAGCACTGGTATTTCACTTTATAACTAACCCCTCGTACACTTGAGTCATCCTGTATGATTCACCACTACACGTGGACTATACACACATTACAATATATATATATATATATATTAAACACACACATATATATATATATATATATTAAACACATATGTATATATATTAAACACACACATATATATATATATATATATGTATGTATATTAAACACACATACACACACACACATATATATATATATATATATGTATTTGCAATTGCAAATAAACTGGATCGCATTTCCCAAATCGTGTCCCCATCACAGGACATTGATCTACGCTCTTGAGATGGCTCTAGACCCTTCTGTTTCCATTGATGAGGCGCCCTTTGTTTCTCGTGAGGTGTATGAATGGAAGCGCGGTCCCATGATACAACGACAAGACTTCGACAACAAGACCTTGTGTATCATACAGGTACATTAGTGTGTGCAGTATAAATTCATTGGTATGTGTATCATACAGGTACATTAGTGTGTAAAGTATAGGTGCTTTGGTGTGTGTATTGTGCAGTTACATTGGTGTGTGTATATTATAGTCACATGGGTTTCTGTACTATACAGTAACATTGGTGTGTGTGTGTCGGTGTTGTCGCTATCTGCGGGGTATATATATATATATATATATACGCGTAATTAAATAACTGTATTAAATTCTAAAAAGTCAATAACATCCGATGCAAGCCTGGAAGCATACCAAAGGCTGTATGTACCTATAGTGCCGTGCTCGATGTCATAGGTGGTGTGTGTTGTAATGCTCAACTACGTGCTAGCGTGAGACGCGGTGTGTGAAGAGGCGACCAATCACTTGCCGATCCTCGCTTTCTTCATGCAGGATTAAGACTAGAGACTCTGGATGGCTAGTTCTATAAATAGAACATTTGTAGATCGCTGTATCTAATATTAGAACACGTACGCTCGTGAGGAGGGGCGCACAATACCAGATTCCTAGCTACGGTCTTTAAAGCATGACCAACATTCCGATCCAACACATATCTAAAAAAAGAACGTTCCTTTTTTAGGTAGGGGCGCACGACCTCGCGTTCCGGTCCATGCTGGCGACATTTGAGTACATGACGAAGGCTCTGGGGCTGATACACGCCATGGCAATCAATTTTCCCCACTCCACCTTTGTAGTACAAAGCACAGCCAGCTATGGCATACCCAAGAGCAGGTAAGTGACGGAGCATGAGTGCCACACAGGTGAATAGGCCCGTGTTACTAGGAGGCAATATTGTAGGCCGCACAGTGTAGGTATGGAGTGTAGGTATGAAGTGTAGGTAGGAGTGTAGGCATGGAGTGTAGGTATATAGTGTAGGTATGAAGTGTAGGTATGGAGCGTAGGTATGAAGTGTAAGTATGTGTAGGTGTGGAGTGTAAGTATGGAGTGTAGGTATGGAGGTTAAGTTCTAGTACAAAATACGGCCAGCTATGGCATTCCCAAGCGACGTTAAGTGGCGGAGGATACGCGCAACGCACTTGTGCATAGACCCGTGTGTACTGGTAAGCGTTGCCATACGCAAAAAGTGTAGCTATGGAGTGTTGCTATGGCAACCTTTCGTAAAACCGTAGCCTTGTGGTCAGTATAAAACCCTAAAACCCTAGAACCCTGTGTGTTTTGTTCATTAGACCGCATGTGGACACTGACACGCATGACTGTACTATTTGTCACACATAGGGGTATCCACACCATCCGCTACAAGGCAGAAGGAAGCCGGCACTTCCGCAAAGAGACTAATACGGGGTAGGTACATTCGATACATGCTTACTATTCTTACCACTTTGACTAATACGGGGTAGGTACATTCGACACATGCTTACTATTCTTAACACTTTGACTAATACGGGGTAGGTACATTCTATACATGCTTACTATTCTTACCACTTTGGCTAATACGGGGCAGGTACATTCAAAATATGCTTACTATTCTTACCACTTTGACTAATATGGGGTAGGTACATTCGATACATGCTTACTATTCTTACCACTTTGACTAATACGGGGCAGGTACATACGACACATGCTTACT